TAATTAAAATAATAATTCACAAATTACACTTTCCAAATTTCGATATTTCAATGTAATTTAGAACAATCTGACAACACTCCGGCCCGAAGGGCCGGAGTTATACGCGAGCCCGAAGGGCCGGAGTTATACGCGAGCCCGAAGGGCCGGAGTTATACGCGAGCCCGAAGGGCCGGAGTTATACGCGAGCCCGAAGGGCCGGAGTTATACGCGAGCCCGAAGGGCCGGAGTTATACGCGAGCCCGAAGGGCCGGAGTTATACGCGAGCCCGAAGGGCCGGAGTTATACGCGAGTCTAGAGATCGCCTTGAGAATATTTTCCAAAGAACTTCTATTGAGAACAGAGAATTTACCGAGAATATTCTTTGGCCCTAAATTCTCGAGAATTTATGAGTTTTTTAGGTTCAAGAATTTATGAGAACATACGTTAATTTACGAGAATTTATGAGAAGTTAGTTGTAATGTTTAAATTTATCAGTTCATTGTGAAAAACGGAAAACAGAGCCGGAATCTCATGCATCCGTTTTCTGAGGTCCGATATCCGAAAAACCTTCTATTCTGACATATTTCTGTGCCACTGAGTACTGAGTGTATGTCCAGCTCTTTCTCTCAGTCTCTTAAAGAAACACAAACACATTTTTTTTTTGCACTATTTTTACCAACTGAAAACGCCATAAGTTATTACATTGTCCCCGTACTGTACAGAGTGTGTGTAAACAAATATTTAATTTCATATGTATTGGTTTTGACTAATAAGGACATATTTGTGAAAAACCTGTTTTTTTGGCGAAATTTTTCAATATGGCGGCGCGAGCGGCAAAAATACGAGGTGACAAAGTAGAAATTTGAAAAGAACACGTCAAAACCTATAAAATTTTCAAAACTCCCGAAAAACTTTCCAGGTAAAACTATCAAATTAATATACTTTTCACCGTTTTTGTGCAAAGTTAAGGGAAAATCTTAATATCTCAAAATATTAATGAGATAGATACGGCAAATATGATATTTTCTGAAAGAGGACATTTTCAGCTTTTCGATAGAAAAATAATATACGGCGTGTTGTATTTGAAAAACTCATTTAAAATGGAGTTTAAAATTGACATGTTTAGACAAATAGTTTGGACACCCTGTATACTTAGATCGAAAAATGAAGATAATGTAGGAGCAACTAGGCTAACATTAAATTACATGTAAATTTCCAAGGGAAATTAATGTACAGTGGAGGAGATATGACAATTTTAAAAAAGTATGTTTTGGTCTATTTTTTTCTTCAAAAAATCATAACTTGACAACGCTGCATTCAACCCAAATACGATTTTAAAGTTGAATACAGAGTATATAGAGGCTTTATTTATCACACAAAAACAAACCTCATTCCATTAAAAAAAAAAACATAAAATTTGTGATTACTCTTTTTTGAGACACCCTGTATACTTGAAAATAATTTTGGGTGATAACAGAGATGAAATGCTAAAACTTTTATACAGAACATTTTTCCATAAGTTCAACGGTTTGGCTACTATTGACCGAGGCGCGCTTGTTGGACTACCCTTTATATATCAATATTTTCTGACGAAAATATTATAATATCATCCAAGTATACATAGCAATGTGTTCCAATAAACTTGGAAAGAATACACATTAATCGTTGCCACCGTAGCTGGTGAATTCACTAATCCAAAAGGCATTCATAATGTCCCCAAGGACTGTCTTTTCTCGATCTGTTGAATATTCTCGGTCCTTGATTCGCTTTAAAATTCAATTTTTTTAATCATTTCAACTTTTGATAAACGTTAAAATTCAATTTTTGAAAATTCGCGGCTGTTGATTCGGTTTAAAATTTAATTTTTAAATATTCCTGGCTCTTGATTGGCTGGATTTGACGTTTTAAAATTCAATATTTGAATATTTTCGATCTCCATTAGCACCCCAGATGATGTCATCTGTTTCCCATTACCAGAAAATCTATAGACTAAGCAAGTAGGACAAAGAAAACGACATAAGAAACTTAGCGGTTAAGAAAAAGACAGACATAAATTGGGATAAATTAAATAGTGCCACAAACATTGATTATTTCCGGCGTTTCGTATGTGATTTTTGTGTCTGGCCAATAAAAAGCCTAAAAAAGACAAGTAAGACAAGGAAAACGACATAAGAAATTTACCGATTAAGAAAAAGACAGAGATAAAGTAGAACACATGAAATAGTGACGCAAACTTTAATTATTTCCGGCGTTTGAGTGTAGAGTGGCCAAAAGCTTGGAATAATAAAGGGACAAAACTATAAGAAATTCAATAAATAGGAAAGAGACGGAAATAAAATGGGATATGAAAAAGTGTGACACGAATTTTAATTATTCCCGGCGCTTGAGTGAGCTTATGTATTTTTTGTATTTGGCCAATAAAAAGTCTAGACTAGAAGAGTAGGACAAAGAAAACGACATAAGAAATTCAATGGTTATGAAAAAGACAGAGATAAAGTGGGATAAATCAAATAGTTGCCCAAACTTTAATTATTCCCGACGCTTGAGTGGCCAAGAACTTTTAGAATAATATTAATATTAAAGAGACAGCAATATAGCAAATTCAATAGGTAAGAGAGAGTTGATAATAAAGTGGGAACAAAAAAAATATGACATGAATTTCAATTATTCCTGGCGTTTAAATGAATTTGTATGTAATTTTTTTATCTGGTCAATTAAAAGCCTAAACTAGGAAAGTAGGACAAAGAAAGCAATATAAAAAACTCAATGATTAAGAAGACGACAGAGATAAAATGGGATATATTCCATAGTGGGGCAAACTTTGATTATTCTCGGCGTTTGAGTCGCCAAGAGCTTGGAATAATAGAGAGACAGCAATATAAGAAATTCAATAAGTAAAAGAGAGACGGAAATAAAATAGGAAAGACAAAAAAGTCACACGAATTTTAATTATTACCGGCGGTTGAGTAAGTAGGGCCATCTAGGAGCCCAGGCGGTCGCCTTTATTATTATTTTACAGCGTTGCCACTGTTTATTTTTTTTCTTAAAATTTCAAAATTTCGTGTTATAGGCTTGTGAGCTTGTTCTTTTGATTTTTCATTGGTCAAAAACGTCAAAATAAGTGAAGTTTATATTATTTTACAGCGTTGCCGCTCTTTGTTTTTTTTTCTTGGAATTTTAATATTTCGTTTTATAAGCTCGTGACGCTAGATTTCTGATTTTTTCAATTGTCAAAAAGGTCAAGATAAAAAAAGTTTATATTATTTTACAGTGTTGCCACTGTTTGTTTTTTTTCTTAGAATTTTAAAATTTCGTGTTGTAGGCTTGTTACTTGTCAGAATCGTCAAAATAAATTAAGTCACACAACAACTGTCAAAAGTTAAGGCGTTTTTTGAAATCAACCAAACCATTTTGTTTAAATAATTAAAAATCGGGAAATACCTATTAAATTTTGAATTTCCATTTTGTTGGCCATCCTTTTCTAATGGATCCAACCAAACAAAAGCTTGAAAATGGTCTCTAAAAGTCACATTTTATTCAAATAAATATAGAAAATTCAATTGTCAATAAATCTATACAACATTCAATGACGTAGCTTGATTAATAAGAAAGTTGTGACGTTTTTAAATTAAAGTTGACAAGAAATGTTGTTGTTACAATAAAATATTTGCTATTTTGGTTTAAACGTCAATGTCAATTATTTGTTTATTGAATATATTTAAATTTTTATTATTCCCGGCTCTTGAAATGCAATGTTAATACACACTACTACTACAAGATAGCCTATCCTCATAGGACTTGTGTGAAATAAATCCCCCCCTTTTTTCCGTCCCGCCCAATCACCAGTTGTGACGTAGGTTATTTCTCGCCTTCACGTAGGCTAGTGAAACAACTGACGACTTAGTTAATGACGTCGGCAATGGTGATACAGCAATATAACGGCGATTACCAAAAACGAGACCGATAAGTAATCCTATAGGTGTGTATCATCCTTGGTTATCGTCATCCTTTTTTGATTGATTACATTAAAAAGAGACAGATGGACTTTTTGGCAGAAGTTCTTGTCAAGTAGGCCATGGATTTAGGTACACCAGTTAAAGCGCTAACTAAAATTAACCAAACAAAAACTTAAAAAATAGACTCAAGACCCAAGGAGAAATCTAAAACTAGTGTTGCTATTGACAAATAAATAGCAAAAAGGCACGGAATCCGAAATGTGACAAGAACGCGATAATTCAAGCAAATTCAGTTTCCGGCCGGAATCCTTTGATGCGTCACAACGTCAAAGTTATAAAATTTATCCTGATGGAAATATCCCATTTTAAAGTCGATAGGTGTAAGGCATACGTCGTCCCGATAAACAAGATGATATTTTTCGCATCGGATTTGTATCAAAGAGCCCCTTTTTTTCCCGATAAAGGAAAATAATCCACCATCAGGAAAAGGTTTCCTACTTTACCGATACTTTTGATGAGGCAAAATATCAACTTTTTGAATAATTAATAATGAAATAGCTTATCGGCTAAAATGTCGATAAGAATGAAAAAAAATATTCCGTCTGCCGATATTTCAGTGAATTTGTTAATCATTTTTGTTATTGTTTATAATAATAAGCAATTAGTTTATTTATATTGAGCGTAATCGCAAAACTGACGTTGACCTCGTGATATTTTAAGAAATCCATGGCTAATTATAGAAAAATTAATATTTATTGGGGAATTTACTTAAGTGATTAGATTTACGCATTTTGGTACACGACAATGACGTCATAATCGTTTTAAAATTGCCTTAATTATATTCAGTTTTAATGGTGGACTATTAACAAACGTCCATTTCTAATCTCAAAAAAAAATTGAGTTTCAGGTTCTAGATTTACGCATTGGTACGACAATGACGTCACAACATGTAGTTTTTTGACAATCGTTTCAAAATTGCCTCAAATTAAAAAAAAAAATATATTCATTTTCAATGGTGGTCTATTAACAAACGTCCATTTCTAACCTCAAAAAATGTTGTTTCAGGTTCTTCGCCGGATCATGCGCGCACCTATCTACCTAGCGTTCTGCGCGGCGGCGTGGGCGGCGGCGTTGCCGCTCGACGGCGCCGGTTTGGAGACGGTCGACGTCGCCGCCGACCCGGAAACGATAAACTACCTGTTGCCGAAGCTGGCGGCCAAGTACCGGCCGAGCGCCGAGTGGCGTGACGTCACCGATCCCCGGTTCTACGTCCTGACCGAAATGGATTCGAACGAGATCGATAACAATCAGGTAAATACGCGGGTGTCTTTGTTTAGTTTGATGGGTTAGAAAGAGACATATATAATCTGGGACATACGTCGCTAAAATCATTTGCGCTGTCAATTAACCAGGTCTCTGACATCTAAAGTTTAAAATTGCGCGCTCATGTGTACTGGGCTTAATTATTGACAGTTTCACAAACTTTTTTTCTAGTTGACCTTGCTTTTACACAGATATCTGTCAAATCGTTATTGTATGAAATGTAATTTTTTTCATCTATCTTCGGCGCTCCTTTTTTAATCGATAATAATAAAAAGAGACAGACAAACTTTTTGGAAAAAAAAAAATTTCAAGTAGGCCTTTCAGATAACTGTCAAAAGTAAGGCATTTCCTAGAATCAACCAAATCATACCGTATTATTATTTGGCCATCTTTTTTTTATCCATGACATTAAATAGAGACAAAACGATTTTTTGGCAGAAGCTCTTTTTCAAGTAGGCCATGCATTTTCATAACCGATGGTTAAATATAAGGCGCTTCCTAAAATCAACCAGTTTGCCCAAAACAACCAAATTGTGCCATTTTGATGTTCATCGTCATTTGGTCAATTTTCAAATTTGACAGAAATGACAGTCGAACTCAAAAGCCGGGAATAGATGAAAAATTATTTTTCAAGTAGGCCATGCATTTTCATTACCAAAACAACCAAATTGTACAATTTTTTTTTTATTCACTATCATTGGTCTACTTTTAAATTTGACAAAAATGACATTTGAGAGCCAAGAATAGATAAAAATTTACTTATCAAGTAAGCCATGCATTTCTGCAAACAACTGTCAAAAAAATAGGCGCTTCCTAATATTCACCATATCATACCGTTATAACAACCAAACTTTTTACAAGTGAAAATTCGTGAAAAATACAGTGTTGCCATAAGGTGCAATGAAGAACAAAAAATCTCTTTTCAATTAAGTAATTGGCAGTAAGTGAAATTAACTTGAAATTTTATGTGTTGCACCTGTTTTTAATGTATCCATGACCACCATTAGATAGACAATAATTAGATTTGTGTTTAGATTCGTAGATTTGATTGACACACACGTCAAATTACTTTTGGCACTTTTTCTTTGTTTATATCCGGCGTTTAAACATAACCTCAATTATCGTTTTCTTTGTTTTCAGAGAGAAAAGCAACAAGCGGCGAAGCGCAGCCGCAACAAGCGCTACAACACGTACAGTCCGACGTTGTCAGTGCAGGCGCCTATCCAAGCGTTGCGCAACCTGTACGACAGGAGCAACTACCAGCAGAGAATTTTCCAGAATCGGAGGCTCATCAATCAATTGAGCTCCTCTTAAATTAAGTTTTTTTGTTTTTTGACAAGTGAAGTATAATATGACGTTGACAGCTCCGCTGTCAACCGAGTGATATAAAAAAAATTAAATAGTATTATCATTTAATAGGGTGTAAATCTAGTCATTTTTTGTTGATATTATGCTTTCTCGTGATATAATAGGAGAGTATTTCCAGATGCCAGTATTAGAGGTTAATAATTTATTTATTTTATAAATTGTTTTTTTTTTTGAAAATTATAATGTTAATAAAGACGTAGAAGTAATTTTGATGTTTTATTAATCAGAAAAGGTACGCCCATGGATTGTGTGACTCCGCCCCTTGTTTATTAGCAATTGACCCCATCCATGGCGTGTAGATGGGCGGAGCCTCACCAACCATAGGCGTACGAGATATTTTCATCCAACTTCGCCAATTTCTTTGCACGGAAATATTTTGTATCACTTTACAGAGCAACACTGCAAAATCCCTTTTGAGCCCAAACGGATGTCATAAGATTATCCTAATTGGCTGGATCGTAGATGCAACGTTGCCAAGGTGCCTTTTTCCGAGCAGCAAAGATTGATTTACGTGAAGACCTTTGTTATTACAAATCATTTGGCAACTATGCAATTTATGTATCGACAATCTGACAACATTGTTTCGTCTTCAGATACAGTGTGTACATAAACCTCTTCTTTTTCCAGCAATCGCCAGCAGTCGACGACCAAATAATCCAAAGGAAGAAACGTCAATCGTCTCGGATCGGTGACGCAGGCGGCTCGCTGTCAATTGTCAACTCGCTAGACGTACTGCGCAACCGCTTGCTGCTAGAAATCGCCCGAAAAAAGGCGAAAGAGGGCGCCAACCGCAATAGGCAGTTGCTGATGAACTTCGGAAAGCGCGGTTTCGCTCAGCGACAGTCCGGCATGTACTTGCCTCGTCGAATATTGACAAATTAAATGATTATAGTGGCAAGTTTTTGTTAGGTTATGCAATCAACTGTCAAAATAAAAATAGGCATTTCCTAACATTCACCAGTATGGCAACCAAACATAAGTTTGCTACTACAATAATTAATTTTTGTTTACGTAATTTAATTCCTATACCAAATTCAACCAAAAAGAGGCATATCTCAAATGCCAACATTCATAAGACTTTTATGTAGTAAACCAAAAAAAAAAAAATGTCAATGTGCTTTGTAGATAGGTTTAAAAATGGTGAGGACTCTCTTAAATCTGCGACCTCGATTGCAGTGTTGCCAATAGCTGGTTTCAGTTGGCAACACTCGCTGCAACATGTCCTTGTATTCATAATAGATGTCTAAAAAATAATCCACTGTTTAGCTTTATAGATAGAGGTTTGTTTCGCAAAAAAGCTGAAACAAATTTGCTAAAAAAAAATGGTTGTGTTTTAAACAGAAATATTGTATATTTAAATATTTATTGTACAGAATTAAAATAAATGGTAAAAATGTGAGCAACATGGTGTTTTAATTGATTTTAAATAGAAAAAGGTACGCCTATGGATTGTACGACTCCGCCCCATTGTTTATTAGCAATGTAACCACGCCCAAACGGGGCAAAGATTGACCAGCCATAGACGTATAGTAGATATATCAGTCTTACCAACTGCAGGTTGAAAAATGACATTGTTGACAGAAGCCTAATGTCGCCACCTGAATTAGGGCAAAGCGGAATCTTCAGGTATTAAAGGGAATTTTTCCTCATTTACCTATTGGTCACAAAACTCCCATATTTATAGAAGCTTGGTCTACATTGACGCGACATTTGTATCAAATTTGTAGCAACTGAAAAGGTACCACCATCAATTGGTTTGTGTCGTTTGATAGAATAATTTGATTCGATTTTTTACGGAATTTAAATCGAAAAAAGTACGCCTATGGATTGTATGACTCCGCCCCCTGCAACAAATCCCGCCCCAAGGCGTCTGAATGGAAGAAGCCTCGCTAACCATGGGCGTACGAGATATTTTTCAAATAAAAATCAGCCTCGTTCCAGCTAATTTCAAATAACATTATTGACAAAAATCCAGTGTTGTTACCTCGAGGGCAAAGCAGAATCTTTAGTAACAAATAACAACATCTCTATATCTATTGTCGTCTCCTCTCTATTGATTTCGATATGAGAGAAGAAAACAGTAAGTGTCATAGCAAGGGAAATAACGATCTCTGTAAGTTATAGGGTCTACATTGACGCCATTCTGTTGAAAATTTTGTCATTTATTTATGTCAAATGTCAAATTTGTAGAAGCTAAAAAGGTGTAAGGAGGTACCAAGGTGGTCCACCAATAATTTGATTGTGTTGTTTGAGAGAATAGTTTGAATCCATTTTTATGTATTATAAATCAAAAAAGGTACGCCTATGGATTGTATGACTCCGCCCCTTGTTTATTAGCAATTAACCCCGCCCATTTTGGGTCTATAAAAAACCATAGGCGTACGAGATATTTTAAAGTGACATTGTTGACAAAAAGCCAGTGTTGCCACCTCGATGAAAATAATTTTTTTGAAAAATGGCTGTTTCCTTTCATTTTATTGAGTGGGTGCGTCTTAATTAAACAGGATTAAGTCTCGTCTACATCGACGCGACATTGTCAATGTATTTTTATCGGAAATTTTGACATTTCTTTATGTCAAATGTCAAATCTGTACATTATAAAATTGCGATTCGTGACGTCACTGGTCAGTAATGAATCAATGATAAGCAGTTGTCCATTTATGATTTGACAGAAATGACAGTTCAAAAGCCGAAAATAAATAAAAAATTATTCGAAAAAAAAACTTCGTATTTCTGTAACACAAAATGACAAAATATTCCGGTAATTGTTTATCAAGTAGGCCATGTATTTCTACAACCAACTGTCAAAAAAATGGGCGCTTCCTAAAATTCACTAGATATACCCCGTTGTAAGTCAGAATATTTGTGTCACATTCTACTGTCTATCTTTAGCTCAATATTAGAAAAGGACAAAACAAGCCTCTACCAAGTTGAGCTTTCATTTACAAATGTCAAAAAAACGGTCACTTCCTAACATTCACCAAATCAAACCGTTATACGAAAAAAATAGACATTTTACCAAGTAACCCAATGAAACAATGACAAGCAGTTTTCCATTTTTAATTTGACAGAAATGACAGTTCAAGAGCCGGGAATAAATAGAAAATTATTCAAAAAAAAACTTCGTATTTTTGTAACCAAAAATGACAAAATATTCCGGTAAACCTTTTATCAAGTAGGCCATGTATTTCAGCAATCAACTGTCAAAAAATGGGCGCTTCCTAATATTCACCAAATCAAACCGAAGTACAAAAAATATAAACCAATGAACCAATGACAAGCAGTTGTCCATTTTCAATTTGACAGAAATGACAGTTCAAGAGTCGGGAATAAATTTAAAAAATTCTTATCAAGTAGGCCTTGTATTCCTTTCAAGTAACTGTCAAACGTAAGGCGTTTTCTAGAATTAACCAAATCATACCAAAATATTTGGCCATCTTTTTTCAGTCAATGACATTAAAAAGAGACAAATCGACTTTGCCGATAACTGGGTCGAATTTCACAGTTCAAAAACTGTCATAGTAGTCTTACCAACAGCATTGGCATTGTTACCAAAAATCTTGACTTTGAGGTGAAAGCGCTCAAAAAAGACCCAATAATTATAATTCTTGACTTTATACCGAAACCAAATAAAAATTTCACCTATCACTGATTAAATTATTTACCTTTGCATAAATTTACGTATTTATCTAGCCTTGGAATTTAAAATTATCTAGTCCGACAATGATTTTCAACAAGGTAAACAGCCTGCGAGCTTTCGCTCGGAAATTACAAAATCTCCGGCCAATTTTCCATCAGGCCTCAAAATACCAAAACAAAATAGCGATCCGTGACGTCACAGGTCAGTACAGCTACCACGATATTTTAACCAAAGCTCAAGTTTTGTCCAGCAAAATATCCAAACAACTTAATGGAAAAACCGGAGAACGAGTGCTATTTTTATGTCCCAACGATGCCAGTTACGTAGTCACCATTTGGGCGATTTGGATGTCCGGACAAATCGGTAAATAACCAACGCCATCTAACAATTTCGACTAGAATTTTATTTTTTTTAGCTGTACCATTGAGCCCTCAACATCCTCAATCGCTTGTTGAATATTATTGCACCGATACAAACAGCAGCCTACTAGTGACGTCATCGCAATACGAACAACACTTGTCAAAGCTGTCAAAACAAGTAAATTTATTTGTTTTAGATGAAGATTTATTTGTGAATAATAAATCATTAGTTGGTACTACTGCTAAATTTTATAATGACGCCATGATTTTATACACAAGTGGTACCACAGGCAAACCAAAAGGTAATCAATATATTGTGCAACTATTGGCAACATTGTATTAATTTTTTTAGGTGTTGTATTGACTCAAAAACATTTCAACTCAAGTTGAAATATTAACAAAAGCCTGGAAGTGGAACGAAAACGATACAATCTTGCACACGTTGCCGCTTCATCATGTGCACGGCACCATTAACGCCCTATTTTGCCCCCTATCAATTGGAGCAACAACCATAATGATGCCCAAATTTAACCCTAAAGAAACTTGGCAACACCTACTTAGTGAACAAGTGACAGTTTTCATGGCCGTGCCTACTATTTATGCCAAACTAATTGACAGCAGCGACTCTGTCAAAGAAAATTTGACAGCTGTAAGATTGATGGTAAGCGGCTCTGCACCATTGCCAGTGCCTCTCTACAACAAATGGCTTGAAATTACCGGCCATAGATTACTAGAGCGTTATGGTATGACCGAAATAGGCATGTGCTTGTCGAATTTGTACGACTCTGACCGAGAGCCTGGTTATGTGGGCCTGCCTTTACCCTCTGTAACCGTTGCCATTGCCAATGATAATGGAGAGATTTTATTGCAATGTAGCAACATTAATGGTGAAATTACAGTAACAAATAATCAACCAATTACAGGTGAATTATTGGTTAAAGGTGATAGCGTTTTCAAAGAATACTATAACAAACCAACATCTCAAGAATTTCAAAATGGCTGGTTTAAAACCGGCGACATCTGTCAATATATAAACAACAAATTCCGTATGCTCGGCCGCAGAAGTGCCGACATAATAAAATCGGGCGGTTATAAAATAAGCGCCCTTCAAATTGAAACGATTCTAGTCGAGCACCCTAGCGTCAAAGAGTGCGTCGTTTTCGGTTTGACTGATGACGTATACGGCGAACGCGTGACAGCTGTCATTGTGCCTACTACTACTGGACAATTGACGTTGCCAGAGTTGAAAGAGTGGGCCGCCGATAAGATGCCGAAATATTGGATTCCGAGTTTATTGAAAGTGGTTGGGGAAATTCCGAAAAATGCCATGGGGAAAGTGAATAAGAAGGAGTTGAAGAAGACGTTATTTTGATAATTAATTATGTACTTACCAAATATGTAATTTCAAGGTTTGTTCCAACTTGTCAAAAAACTGTCCCAGAACGGTTTCGGAACCACTCTGTATACGAATTTCGGTTTCTACGCAAACATTTTAGGTTTTGCGCAGAATCCTGACGGTAATATTACGGTTTTCTGCTGGGTTGGAACAGAGCTATTGATTCATCGTTTCCCATTATCACTAGCATTTAATTAAGATGTTAATAAACACTCAAAAATAGTTTTTTCAATTAAAACTAGCACAAAATAGCCAATAAAATTCAAATTTTCAGAGACACTTGTAACGACTTGTCTACATCCGCCATTTTTTTAATTTGAAAGCTTGTCAACAAGTGTGCATTCAGCTGACGTTACTTTTTTCAAAAGTGTTTTTTTTTGTGTTTGCTACTTTTTTAAACTTTTAAAATGTATTTCAATTGTGCTTCTAATCTAATTGTTTTATAAATAATTCCATTGTTTGAGTTCGAGTACCAAGAGTTTTAAAAAAATGTACTCTAATAGTTCTAGTTCACGTGGTGCAACTTTCGCAGTTAATGAAAGGTCTGTTCCATGTTCCAACACACCAAAAAACCGGTTTCAGAACCACTCTTTGCACGAATTTCGGATTCTACGCACAAATTTTATGTTTTGTGCGTTTTTCTACTGATTTGGAACGAACCTGAAAACAAAAAATAAAAAAAGCTGTACTCTAAATAGTTCCAGTTTACGTGGTGCAAACTTTGGAGTTAACGAAAGGTCTGTTTCAAGCTCCAACCCACCAAAAAAACAGTTTTGGAACCACTCTGTATACGAATTTTAGATTCTATCAAACAAATTTTGTGTTTTGCGTATAATCCTGTGCATTTCCCTGCTGGTTTGGAACAAAGCTGAGAGCAGCAACTTCTTATTTGGAAACAAATTATAGCGAATTCTATTGGCTGACCTGGTGAGTTCCAGTGCAGGTTTTTTTGTATTCCATCAGGAAATTGATCCTGCACTTTTTACTCCGAGGATTCTCCGGAGAGTATAATTATAATGACAGTTTTCCAATTTAAATTATAAACGTATTCTATTCACTGAACTGGTGCATCAGGAATGCAATATCTGTGTTCCAGTGCAGATGATGGACAATTTAGTGCTGCACTTTTCGTTCTGAGTGCACTTAATTCTTGACTGAACTGGGAGCGACAAAAGCGCAATGTTTTGTTTACTGTTTCATGCAAGTTGTATGGATTTAATAGCAAAATCAATTCTGCACTTTCTGCTCCGAGTGCAGTCGGCTCCACAGCTTGACATATAAGCTCTGTTGTGATTCAAAAGTTGGAACGGTTCTGGAATTGATTGCGCACAAAAAATAGTTGAGAACTAAATCGATTCAGAGCCATTAAAACCACAAATTACAAAATTCCAAAACAGTTCCTCCTTTAAAGCACGAACTGGGAGAACCGTTCTAGAACAATTTCAGAATTATTTTCAAAGAGTTCTAAATAATTCAAAACGCTGTCAACACAGTAGTTCAGGTAAGATTCTTAAAAAACGAACATGCGCATTTGCAGAATGATTCCGAGCTAGTTCTGTTCTGAGTGAAACCTATAAATGAGCTGGTGCGACTGAAATACATTATTTGTTTTTCAATGAAGGGTTTTATGAATATGAATGTAAAATCGGTTTGATTTGATTAAAATCTGATCATTTAAATTTGCAGGAACAAGAAAGAGTGCTCCGTGTAACATTTAGGAGCATTCTATTGCGAACGGAATCTAATATTTGTCATCCAGTGCAGATGATAGAAAATTCGGTGTTGCACTTTTTGTTCCAAGTGCATTCAGTACTTGATTGAACTGGGTGCGAAAAAAAAAGCAATGTTTATGGTGTATCTATTCATGCAGGGTTTTATGGATTTGACCGCAAAATTGATTCTGAAGTTTTCCGCTCCGTGTGAAATTTGCAATGGTTCTGGAATTAAATGACTGTTCTGAACCGATTGGGAATCAAAAAAACCAGAGCAAGTCGCAAATCAAAAAATTCCAAAACAGTTCATGCTTCAGAGCAAAGACTGAGATAACTGTTCTAGAACAATCCCAGAATGACTCTTAAATAGTTTTAAACAATTTAAAACGCTGTCAACAGAGTTCGATCACTATTCTCAAAAAAACGATAATGTTTTTAATAACATAAATTGTGAACCCTCGAATTTGTCGGAGCAAGAAAGAACGCTCCGTGCAACATTTAGGAGCATCCAGTGCAGATGATGGAAAACTCGGTGCTGCCCTTTTCGTTCCGAGTAAACTCAGTTCTTGACTGAACTGGATGCGACAAAAACGCATAATTTATTGTTTATCTTTCTATGCAAGTTTTATCGATTCGATAACAAAATTGGTTCTGCACTTTTTGCTCTGAGTGCAATCGGCTCCACAACTGGACATATAAGCTGTGTTTTGAGTAGAAATTTGGAACGGCTCTGGGATTGCACAAAAATAAATAATAATAGATTGTTTTAATACTAGGTTCTGAACCTGAAACCGAAAACAAGTTGCAAATGACAAAGTTCTGAAACAGTTCCTCCTTCAGAACAAGAACTGACAGAATCGTTCTAGAACAATCCCAGAATTGTTCTCAAATAGTTCTAAATAAATAATCCAAACCGTTGTCAACGCAGCTTGATTATGATTCTTAACAAACGAATACGCTTTCAATAATACGCGCATGCGCAGAATAAATCCGAGTTAGTTCTGAATGATACCAAAACAAACCTAAGTGCGACTGGAATGCATTATTTGTTTTTCAATGCAGGTTATTATGGATTTGAATTCAAAATCGGTGTTACACTCTTCTTTCCGAGTGCAGTCAGGTTAAGTGCACCGACAGCGAATATAATCCAAACATAGTCGTATTCGATTGGTAACGCTGTTCAGGTCAAGGATCGATTCGATAACTGTCACTTGTCAGTTGTTGTTTTGGTGTAGAAAGCATTCTTGTTTTTTTTTATATTCTATCTAACTAAACCGGTAATATTTTTAGTTCAGTTATTGTGATCTTGAAATCTTAAGGCCCGTATTCATGGTCGATGCTCATGGTTGCATCTTGACTCAAGTACGACTTGAGAGCCAAGCTCCAGTCTATGAATACCGGGCTTAAGTTGGTGAGGGTAAAATTCAACTACAATGGAACACGGTCTGGTTGAGTTAAATTGAACCAGAACGATCTAATCTGATCAATCGAATGCAGCTCAGGAGGATCACGACAAGTAGAATTCTACTTTCATGACGCGATAAATTAGTTGCGGGTGACGTCATGAAATTAGAATTCTACTTGTCGTGATACTCCTGAGCTGCATTCGATTGATCAGATTAGATCGTTCTGGTTCAATTTAACTCAACCAGAGCGTGTTCTGAACTGTGTTACCAATCGAATACGACTCTATTTGGATTATATTCGCTCTCGGTGCACTTAACCTGACTGCACTCGGACCGAAGAGTCAGAACTAACTAGGAATCATTCTTCACATGCGCATGTTATCAAAAGCATTTTCGTTTTTTTGAGAATCTTAACTGAGCTACTGTGTCGACAGCATTTTGAGCTATTTAAAACTCTTTGAGAAAAATTCTGGAATTGTTCTAGAATGGTTCTCTAAGTTCGTGCTTTGAAGGAGTAACTGTTTTGCGACTTGGTTCGGTTTTAATGGTTCCGAATCGATTCAGTCCTCAACTATTTTGTGCGCAATCAATCCCAAAACTGTTCCAACTTTTGAATCAAAACAGAGCATATATGTCAAGTTGTGGAGCCGACTACACTCGGGGCGGAAAATGCAGAATCGATTTTGCTATAACATCCATACAACGTGCATGAAAAAGTAAATAGAACATTGCGCTTTTGTCGCACCCAGTTCAGTCAAGAATTAAGTGTACTCGGAACAAAAAGTGCAGCACCAAATTATCCATCATCTACACTGAAATATAGCTACTGCATTCCTGATGCACTAGTTCAGTAAAATAGAATACGTTTATTAAATAATTTAAATTGAAAAACTGTCATTTTAATTATACTTTCCGGAGAGCTCTCGGAGTAAAAAGTGCAGGATCAATTTCCTGATGGAATACAAAAAAACCTGCACTGGAATGCACCTCATCGGCCAATAGAATTCGCTATAATTTGGTTCCAAAGAAGTTGCTGCTCTCAGCTTTGTTCCAAACCAGCAGTGAAACGTACAGGATTCTACGTAAAACATAAAATTTGTGCGTAGAGTCATTGGAAGAATCTGAAATTCGTATACAGAGTGGTTCCAAAACTGGTTTTTTGGTAGGCTGGAGTTTGGAACTGACCTTTTGTTAAACTCCAAAATTTGCACCACTTGAACTGGAACTATTAGAGTACACCTTTTTTTATTTTTTGCTTTCAGGTTCGTTTCAAATCAGCAGAAAAACGTACAAAACATAAAATTTGTGCGTAGAATCCCAAATTCGTGTAGAGAGTGGTTCTGAAACCGGTTTTTTGGTGGGCTGGAACATGGGACAGATCTTTCGTCAGTTGCGAAAGTTGCACCAGGCGAACTAGAACTATTAGAGTACTTTTTTTTTTTAACTCTTGGTACTCGAATGCAAATAATGGTAATATTTATCAAACAATTAGATTAGAAGCACAATTGAAATACATTTTAAATGTTTAAAAAAGTAGCTAACACAAGAAAAACCACTTTTGAAAAAAGTAACGTCAGCTGAATGCATACTTGTTGACGAGCTTTCAAATTAAAAAAAATGGCGGATGTATAGACTAGTCGTTACAAGTGTCTCTGAAAATTTGAATTTTATTGGCTATTTTGTGCTAGTTTTAATTGAAAAAACTATTTTTAATTGTTTATTGACATCTTATTTAACCTAAAATTTTTGCGTAAAAACCGAAATTCGTATACAGTGTGGTTCCGAAACCGTTCTGAAACAGTTTTTTTGACAAGTTGGAACAAACCTTGAAATTACATATTTGATAAGTACATAATTACTTAATTATCAAAATAACGTCTTCTTCAACTCCTTCTTATTCACTTTCCCCATGGCATTTTTCGGAATTTCCTCGACCACTTTCAACAAACTCGGAATCCAATATTTCGGCATCTTATCAGTGGCCCACGCTTTCAACTCTTGCAACGTCAATTGTCCAGTAGTAGTAGGCACAATGACAGCTGTCACCCGTTCGCCGTATACGTCATCAGTCAAACCGAAAACGACGCACTCTTTGACGCTAGGGTGCTCGACTAGAATCGTTTCAATTTGAAGGGCGCTTATTTTATAACCGCCCGATTTGATTATGTCAGCACTTTTGCGGCCGAGCATACGGAATTTGTTGTTTATATATTGACAGATGTCGCCGGTTTTAAACCAGCCATTTTGAAATTCTTGAGATGTTGGTTTGTTGTAGTATTCTTTGAAAACGCTATCACCTTTAACCAATAATTCACCTGTAATTGGTTGATTATTTGTTACTGTAATTTCACCATTAATGTTGCTACATTGCAATAAAATCTCTCCATTATCATTGGCAATTGCAACAGTTACAGAGGGTAAAGGCAGGCCCACATAACCAGGCTCTCGGTCAGAGTCGTACAAATTCGACAAGCACATGCCTATTTCGGTCATACCATAACGCTCTAGTAATCTATGGCCGGTAATTTCAAGCCATTTGTTGTAGAGAGGAACTGGCAACGGTGCAGAGCCGCTTACCATCAATCTTACAGCTGTCAATTTTTTTTTGACAGAGTCGCTGCTGTCAATTAGTTTGGCATAAATAGTAGGCACGGCCATGAAAACTGTCACTTGTCCACTAAGTAGGTGTTGCCAAGTTTCTTTTGAGTTAAATTTGGGCATCATTATGGTTGTTGCACCAATTGATAGGGGGCAAAATAAGGCGTTAATGATGCCGTGCACATGATGAAGTGGCAGCGTGTGCAAAATTGTATCGTTTTCGTTCCACTTCCAGGCTTTTGTTAATATTTCCACTTGAGTGGAAATGTTTTCATGAGTCAATATAACACCTAAAAAAATTAATACAATGTTGCCAATAGTTGCACAATATATTGATTACCTTTTGGTTTGCCTGTGGTACCACTTGTGGCGTCATTATAAAATTTACCAGTAGTACTAACTAATGATTTATTATTCATAAGTAAATCTTCATCTAAAACAAATAAATTTACTTGCCTTGACAGTTTAAACAAGTATTGTTCGTATTGCGATGACGTCACTAGTAGGCTGCTGTTTGTATCGGTGCAATAATATTCAAGAAGCGATTGTGGATGTTGAGGGCTCAATGGTACAGCTAAAAAAATAAAATTCCATTTGAAATTGTTAGATGGCGTTGGTTATTTACCGATTTATCCGGACATCCAAATCGCCCAAATGATGACTACGTAACTGGCATCGTTGGGACATAAAAATAGCACTCGTTCTCCCGTTTTTTCATTAAATTGTTTGGATATAAAACGCTTCCAATAATATGCGCATGCGCAGAATAAATCCTATTTAGTTTTGAATGAATCCAAAACAGACCTATGTGCGACTAGAATGCATTATTTGTTTTTCAATGCAGGTTATGGATTTGAATTCAAAATCGGTGTTACACTCTTCGTTCTGAGTGCAGTCAGGTTAAGTGCACCGAGAGCGAAGATAAATACAAACAGTTACCAATCGAATAGGTAACGCAGTTCAGATCAAGGTTTAATTCGATAACTGTCACTTGTCAGTTGTTCTTTTGGTGTAGAAAGCACTCTTGTTTTTTTGTTTATATTCGATTTAACTAAACCGGTAATATTTTTAGTTCAGTTCTTGTGATCTTAAGTTGGTGAGGCTAAAATTCAACTACAATGGAACACGGTCTGGTTCACTTAAATTGAACCAGAACGATCTAATCTGATCAAACGAATGCAGCTCAGAAGGATCACGACAAGTAAAATTCTAATTTCATGACGTCACCCGCAACTAATTTATCGCGTACAACACAACAACCTGACGTCATGAAAGTAGAATTCTACTTGTCGTGATTCCAGTGCAAGGCACACGATTTGAACGTTCTTATTTTTTGTTCCATCAAATTTGATGGACCCAGAAAGAGCGCTCCGTGCGAGATTTGAGAGCGTTCTATTGCTCAAGTCGAACACATGAATCTCGCCCAGAGTAACGCTCTGTTTCAAGCCGTTTCGATGTTTCGAATTACTTTTAGATCAATCAGGTGCAGTTTAGAGGCAAAAATCGAAAGCGCTATGAAATTTCAAGCGCTTCAAGTTTGTGGATGACTGTTCTGATACCAGTTCTGAACTGATTTGGAACAAAAAATGCAGTTGGTTCTGTTCTAAAATTGCCAACCTAACGTCATTGTGACTTTTATCTTTAAAAAAAAAACAGACATTAATAATAGTTGACTTCCATTGTGGAGTGAAATGAATACAATTTTCTAATGTATAAACCTACTCTATTTACTCTAAAATAGTAGGACGAGTAAAGACGGTCAAATTTAATGCACTAAAACGAGAATCTCAGACCGAATGGAGTAACTGTTAACATAGCTCGATTTATTTCTAATGTAAAAAAATCTACATAAGGTCCAAAATTAGTGTTCCAGAGGCAACAATAAATAGAATTCTAGAACGAAATCTCCTCTGGAAAGTCCGGAAACATAACCTACAAAATCTCATAACGCCGTTGATGTAGGAATCTGCAACGATAAAATATTCTATTTTACGGATTTGTTCCGAAAATTGATCATAAACCTGTTCCGAACTCGTTTACTGTCAAATGAAGTTCTAAACTAGATTACAATAAAAAAAAATCCTGAATAGAGCCTAGTACTCATAACTGCGAAATTTGCTTTTTTTTGACATTGTTTCAACAATTTGATGTTTGATACACGCATAAAACGTCAAATTGTCAAAGCAATGTCAAAAAAGTACGAATTTCGCTGGTATGAGGCTTAAGTGCCCTAGAACACATTGAACTTACTCTATTTTTTGTTTGTAAATCAATTAGACCGGTTCCAAACTATATAAAGCCTAACTAGAAACAGTTAAATCGTTTTTTTGTGTTCTGAAGAATTGTTCCAAATTAGTTCACGTTTAAAAAATCTTAAGATAAGTGCCCTGGAACATATCGACTTTACTCTCTGGATTCTGGATATTCGAACAGGAAACGGACCAAACTGCAAATGTCATAAAATTAATGCTCCGATCCCTAGAACCGGTTGGAGTAGTTCAGAAACGATTCGAATCGGTACGCGAACAAAGAACTAAAAATTTTAGTTACGTCCGCTGAATGCATGCTAAAAGAAGAAGAAAAACATAACCTCGAAAAATATTATTTGTTTTGTTCTCTTTCATTTTTCGTTTTCGAAATAAGTAAATTATGGCTGGAGAAGTTGTAGTGGACGCCCTACCGTACATCGACCAAGGTTACGATGAACCAGGAGTACGAGAGGCTGTAAGTACTTTTTAAAAATTATAAACATTTTTAACCAGTTTTAACAAAACAGGCCTTCGCAATGGTCGAAGAAGAATGCCGCCGTTACCGACCAACCAAAAACTATTTGGAACACCTGCCCCCTCTAAACATATCCGCCTTCGAAACTCAAATAATGCACAACGAATTTGAGCGGCTGCAAAACCGCCAACCAATGGAAACGATTTCAATGAAACGTTACGAACTTCCGCCGCCCCCTAGCGGCAAACTGAACGAGTTGGGCGCTTGGATCGAGTGCGTCGACAACTCCCAAGCGCAACTGGAACATCAAGCTGTCCGAATTGAAAATCTACAACTCATGATGGAGTATTGTTGTCCAACTTGGCAACGCTACTTACAGCTGCTGCAAGATTTGGAAAAACAGGCCACAAAAAAACTAACGGCGCTACGACAAGCGCTGCAAGAAGTCAACTGGCAACGCAAATCGTTGCAGACCAAAGGGGGCGAGCAACTAAAGAATTTAGAAGCCAAATGGGTCGCACTGGTTTCGCATAATTACGAAATCGAACAGGCTTGCGTTATGGCTGAAGAATATATTGCCAAAATCCAAAACTAATCAATACTGTATAATTTTATTGCTTATAAATAAATTACATTAACTTAATTCTAATTTGCTTGTTCGCATGCATCGATCCAGTCGTTGTAAACGTCAACAGGCTCTGATAAAAAATTTATGGTCGTCTGGAAGTCTTCCAGGCAAACTCTGCAAGTTATCCGGGCCGTACTACGTCCTTTGTCCATTTTGACGTCACAACTTTTCTCGTGGTTGCAAAAAGGGCAGTTGAACAGGATGTCTAGGGGTTCGATGTTTTTGCGTTTCGGCGGGGGCTTTCTTTTCGACTTTCTACGACCCATAACTGTTTGTTTGCGATTTGAAATAATCAATAAACAAACCAAACAAAGTTGGGTTATGTTGGGCGTTCCAGTGCAGGACCGTACTTACAGCTCGGGAGCTCAACGCTCCGATTAGCTCCAAGCGTTACACTCCCATACTGAAAAGTTACTCTTGTTTGTTTGTATTGTTCGGAACAACGTTTCTTGCTTCGAGGCGATCGTTTGTGTCATGGCAATGAACTGTCAAACATTTCTTATAGTTATTAAATGTCATAATCTGAAATATTACAGCTCAGTTTAAGTTAGTACGACACAAACAAACAAACCTTGGAGTGCATTCAGCAGATGAAATAACTCAATTAATGACTAGTTATTATTAGAGTACTTAGAACAGTTGAAATATTCCGTCAGCTAAAGTACTCTAAAGCAAGTCTAGAGTATTCTGGAACAAGCTACTCTAGAGTATTTTTTAGTAGCCCACACCAAATTTACTAATCACTTATAACTTCCAATCACAGTTCTTTTTTTGAGATTCGACTCGAATCGGTTCCGAATGAGTTCTGAAGTATTCAAACCAGTTTTAGGGATTTGAGCCATAAATTCATGACAATCGAAGATTGTTTTGAGATCATATTAAATTGGATCGGAATTTGATTCGCAAATAAATCTATAAGTTCCAGTAGATGATTCAGATCACTTAATTTTAGTTACAGTTCTTTGCTTGCGAATTAGTTCCGAACAAATAAATAAACTTACCTAAGTGAAGTTCGATTATAATTATACGTAGCATTTCTTTCGAAGATGAAATAAGAACAACGATCACAATTTCAAGGCCTCACAAAAAAACAAGGCTTTCATTGCTTTATATACCTACTACCTACAGCCTACTATTATAGTAAATAAATTCATGGATCATAATGAAGTAGTTCGAACAGTAACAATCAAAGCAGTGCAAACAGAACAGAGTTAGTACAGATAGAACAGAAATTAAAATAATTGAAACATTTAAAGTAACTCGAACAATAAAAGGAATTTAAATAGAATAGTTCATTTGTTCCAGATCATTTCTGAACTAGGCTTTTAGAGTTCCGAGTTTTTATCAATTGTTGTTCTGAACTGGACAAAATTATGAACTAAATTATTATTAGGCGCATACGGTGCACGAGTATCGAGCAATCTTTAGTTTTTAAGTGTCCCAGATCATTAAATTTATTGTTTTTTGTTCATGGTGCAACTAGAATCAATTCCAAATCGGTTGTATTTGTATAATCTCACTCTATTTACTCCGAAAACAATTAGTGGAGTATAAAAGAGTCAAATAGAATTTAATTGAGGGCCTTCCAGAGTACTCCGTATTCACTTTAACTGTTCAATTTTATTTATTTTTCTCGAAGTAGAGCAATAAGAACCCACTCTGAAACTTTTGGAGTTACTCCTCTTACTCTTTCCTGGTTTCCCAAGTGAAAAGAATCTTATTGCATTTACTCCGAAAATAATTGATAGAGTAGAAAAGAGTCAAAAAGAATACAATTTCGAACGACTTAAGGTACTCCATTTTACTCCTTTTATTATTTTCTTTTTATCCGAGTGTAAATAATCTTACTCCACTCACTACGAATACAATATACGAATCAGTGGATTATAGAATAGTTTAAAAAAGTGCAATTCTAAGTACTCCGTAGTTACTCCAACTGTCAAATTTGCTTTAATTCGTATGTCATGGCACTCTAACTCTTTAGATTAAATATTTAGGTGTATGTTCGTTTATACGGAGTGGAGTGAATAAATTTTACACCGGAACGATTTTAGAGTGAAAAGTGACAAAAAAGTTGAAATCAATCTGAGAAATGGAACTTTTAGAATCTACTCCTTTTACTTCGAATGCCAATAGTTCGTTTACTACAAAATTGTACCCGAACCAATAAGATAGCTACTCTAACTGTTCGAAAATGGCTTTTTAGTGTAAATAGAGTAATTAGAACACATATGCAGGTGCAAATAATTTTACTCTACTTACAACAATTAGTAAAGTATAAAAGAGTAAAATAGAGTTTAATTGAGGGCCTTCCAGAGTACTCCAAATTTACTCTAACTGTTCGATTATTTTTTTTTTTTGCATAAATATACGGAGTAGAGCGGAAAGAACTCAGTCCAACGGTTTCACCACGTGGTTTGAAGTTTTTGGAGTCTACTCCTTTTACTCTTTAGAGTAACTAAATGAATCTTCGTTAGATTAGTTCATTCAAATCATTTCTGAAATGTGTTCCGACTTTATCGATTGTTGTTCTGAACTAGAAAAAAATATGAACTAAATTATTATTAGACGCATACGGTGCACGAGTGTCCTAAATTAATGTCCTAGCAAGCGCATTGATTGTTCGTATTTAATATAATTAGAACCGGTTCCGGATAGATTTTGGAGTCTTGAACCAGTTCACAATCGAACAATCTTTAATTTATGTCCCAGGTCATTGAATTTACTGTTCTTTGTTTGCAGTGCAACTAGAATCCATTCCAAATCGGTTCTATTTGTTTTGAACCTGTTCCGAACTTGATTACTGTCGAATAAAAATTGGGGCCTAAAACCTAGTACTCATAACTGCCAAATATTCGCACTTTTTTGACATAACTTTAACAATTTGACGTTTTATGCGTGTATCAAACGTCAAATTGTCGAAGCAATGTCAAATAAATGCGAAATTCGCAATTATGAGTACTAGGCTTAATTACAGTCTATTTCCATCTGCGAATTTGCAGTTCTACAAATATGGCCGACTTGCATATTTGTAGGAACTAGCAAAAAAGTGTTTGGACGCTACTGATTTACCAGTTTGAAATGTCAAAGTGACTGCAAGAACTTACGGGACCATTTCGCTTTGCGCAAATTTGCAGGCGACTTGCAAATGCATTCTGCTTCTGTATACAAAAAGTCAGACTTGCAGAGTCTACTCTTTTTCTTCTTTTCAATATTCGAACGTACTTAAACTTACTCTATTTACTCCAAAAGAGTCAAAAATTAATATAATGTGAACTATTTACTTACTCCGAGCAATCCAAATATAGCCAATAGAGTAATTACGTTCATGTTTGACAATATGCAGTGAAATAAATACAACTTTTTATTGAAAAAACCTACTCTATTTACTCTAAAATAGTAGTACGAGTGCAAAATTTCATAATTTTCTGAGCCCTTGTTCATATTTAAATAAATTATCAAAACGATCCAAATTTGAAAGTTTTGAAACACACGGTGACGTCACTGCATCTCTCACGTTGGTCGTGTGACGGCCTTTAGCCCGTCTTGACTCGAGAGATGACGTCATAGCATCTCTCAGCGATGAATTTCTGAGGCATAATGTTTTAATATTCAAAGCCGCATAACTTTTTTAATATTTATCCAATTGAGCTTTTTTGTGTACTATATGTGAGTAATACTCCATAAAAATATCAAAAAACGTGGCAAATGAAACTTCACTGAACGAGCCTATTCAAACGAGAACACACACCATTTGAAATATTGAACGTACTTTAATGTTCTGATGAAATTCTATAATTTATCGAATTTGACGGAGCAGGTGAGAGCGCTCCGAATCTTTAGAGTCTACTCTTATTTTTAGAGTTTACTCTTTCTACTCTTCAATATTCGAACGTACATAAACTTACTTTATTTACTTCAAAGGAGTCAAAAAATAATAGAATCTGAACGATTTGCTTACTCAGAGCACTCTAAATATAACAAATAGAGTAATTATACGTTTATGTTTGACAATGGAGTGAAATAAATACAACTTTCTAATGAATAAACCTATTCCATTTACTCTAAAATAGTAGTAGTACGAGTAAACACAGTCAAATTTAGTGCACTAAATCGATTATTGCAGGCCACCAAGGATACAAAAAACGTACTGATGATGACGTCATAAGATATAATACTTAGAGTAAGTACAAATGGAACAGAATTGAAACAATTCGAACAATAAAATTCAAATCAGAATTTATTTTAAATTGTTCTATAATAGTTCTGTGCGAACTGGCATAGGATTCAAAACTGTTCCAAAAATGATTTGATCAACCCAGAACAGTTCTGAACATATTTTTTTTTTCTATAAACAGTGCCAAGAATCGTTTAAAAATTGCTCATCAAACGTCAAATTGTCGAAGCAATGTCAAAAAAAGCGAATTTCGCAGTTATGAATACTAGGCTTTAGAGGGAGTTTCTAATGTGAGTACTGAGGATGACGTCACTAAATTGAATAGAAAATGGTAATATTTTATTTTTTTATTCCAGGCATTTGGCCATCAAAAATACAAGAAACGTACTGATGATGACGTCAATAAGTTAGAATACTTAGAGTAAGTGCAAATGGAACAGAATTAGAACAGTTCGAACAATAAAATTCAAATCAGAATTTATTTTGAATTGTTATAAAATAGTTCTGTGTGCACTGGCAGTGGATTCAAAACTGTTCTAAGAATGATTTGATCATCCCAGAACAGTTCTGAACACATTTTTTTTTTTTATAAACAGTTCCGAACTGCACCTACTCCAGATTATTCTAGAACAATCACATATTGTCTCAGAATCGTTTGAAAAATGCTCTGAACTTAAAACAGGAGTATTTAAAAGTGCCTAAGAGCTCAAAAGTAATTTAATTGGAGTTAGAGAGAGTTTCCAATGTGAGTACTGATGATGACGTCACTAAATTAGATAGAAAATGTTTTTTTTTTAATATATTCAGGCATTTGGCCATCAAAAATACAAGAAACGTACTGATGATGACGTCATTAAGTTAGAATACTTAGAGTAAGTGCAAATGGAACAGAATTAGAACAGTTCGAACAACAAAATTCAAATCAGAATTTATTTTGAATTGTTATAAAATAGTTCTGTGTGCACTGGCAGTTGATTCAAAACTGTTCTAAGAATGATTTGATCATCCCAGAACAGTTCTGAACACATTTTTTTTTTTTATAAACAGTTCCGAACTGCACCTACTCCAGATTATTCTAGCACAATCACATATTATCTCAGAATCGTTTGAAAACTGCTCTGAACTTAAAACAGG